TTCTCCCCCATTATCTGGGGGAGCAGCATGAAAACTACCCACTCAGTAGTGAGAGAGAGCCTTTGAGGGACTGGCCGAAGCTGTGACCTCACTCCAGGCGAGGGTCTTTTGTCCCCTCACAGCTGAGATCATGCTGAATTCATTTCAGCAGTGCCCCTCTCAGGGCCATGGATGGGGAATGAAGGGGCAAAAGGGGCCGCTGCCCCCGGGGCTCAGTGATTTAAAAGGGTCGGCGGCTTCCGGCTGCCAGTGCCTCTACTGCAGCAGCAGCTGGAGCCCTGGGCCATTTAAATTGCTGATATAACCCCAGGCGCTGTGGGCCGGGCAGCATTGCTGGGGAAGGCTAGACCCTCAGCCCCATCTCTTCCACCTGAGGCCCCGCCCTTTCCAGGGGCCTGGAGCAACCCCCCCACACCCTGCCCAGGGCCCTGGCAGTTCTGTTGAATAGTCCTAAGTATGGCTGAGTAGGGATGGTTCCCACCCTGTACTTGGAGTTGAAAGACCAGCGTGGGTTTACTCCCCACAGGCTCGGCACACAAACGCAGGGGGCGGCTTAGGGGTGGTGGTGAGGAGACAGTCCTTGCTTTCCTCTTGTCCTGCCCACTGACAGAGTGGGGCAAAGGGGCAGTTGCCCAAGGGCCCGGTAATTCCCGGCCCCCTTTGAATTGCTGCCAGAGCGCAGCATTGCTGCTCCTTGTGGCTGGGGGGGAAGGGAGAGGAGGGGCGCATGCTGCAGTCCAGGCGGCACTGAGGGCTCGCTGTCTCAGGCCCTGTCCCTTCCTCCTGGGGCTACAACTTTTCCGGGGGGATGGGGTGCTTTCCCCCCAACCTTGCCCCAGGGCCTAGGGAGGCTGTCGGCCCCGCTGTCCACGGAACCACAAGTGCAGGGGACAGTTGTACTGCAGTGACCACAGAGGGTCAGCCACAGCAGGAAGATAGTGGCTAGCTGGGCCTGGTAAACCCCTCTGACCTCCCAGCCCCCTGCCTTGAATCCTCTGGCCTGAGCCAGCCCACCCTGAACCCTGCATCGGCCTCTGCCCTGAGCCTCCCCACACCCTGCCCTGGCTCTTGACCCCTGTGCCCTGAGTCCCGCCACCCCATCTCCCAGGCCCCTGCCCTGAGGCCCCCAACCCCTGTCTTAACTCCTGCACCCCCCACACTCCTAGCCCCCTGCTCCGAAGGACCTGAGCAATGCCCAGTAAATCTAGTGTCTTAAGACAGAAATTACCCATCTGAATGGAATTCAAAGGTACTGTTTCTGTACGTACCAGATTCATTTAAACGGGGAAATAATTGTTGATAAAAATATAAAGCACACATGATAATCACTGTGACTTCATCACACGACCGGCCACAAGACTTGTGGAAGAGAAGCACCTTTTGTGTGTAGCTCATTGGTAACCAGGGCACCCTTACAAACCCTGCTGGCACAGCAGTGCACAGAGAACTGAAGTGCTGTTTTTCAGACAGGAAATTCAGGATTCGAAAACCTAGCGCACTCTGGAGGGAGCGCACTGGAATGTCCAAACATTGACTTGAGAACATTCCTCTATTGTAGGAAAGCAAGTAGCCACAGTGGATTCTCCCAAGGGTTTCCCCTTCAATTCCCTGTGAGCAGCTTAGGGCAGATACGGCACTCAGATCCAGGATGGCGTTCATCTCTCCCAACTTGTCAGGCAGAGAAACTTTAAGGTTTTATATAGTTGGTTTGTATTTTCTTCTTGTGTCCCAGTATCCCAGTGTCTATCCATATAATCTAAGTTAACATAACATAAGAACGGCCGTACTGGGTCAGAACAAAGGCCCATCTAGTCCAGTACCCTGTCTTCTAATAGTGGCCAGTGCCAGGTGGCCCAGTGGGAATTAACAAAACGGAATCATCAAGTGCTCCCTCCCCTGTCACCCATTCCCAGCCTCTGACAAACAGAGGCTAGGGACACCATCCCTGCCCATCCTGACTAATAGCCATTGATGGACCTAACCTCCACGAATCTATCTAACTCTTTTTTGAACCTTGTCCTGGCCTTCACCACATCCTCTGGCAAGGAGTTCCACAGGCCAACGGTGCACTGTGTGAAGAAAAACGTCCTTTTGTTTGTTTTAAATCTGCTACCTATTAATTTCATTTGGTGACCCCCTTAGTTCTTATGTGATGGGAACAAGTAAATAACTTTTCCTCCACACTAGTCATATGGAACCTGTTCAAAACCCTTAATAATTTTTGTTGCCCTTTTCTGAACCTTTTCCAATGCCAATATAACTTTTTTTAAATGAGGTGACCACATCTGTACACAGTATTCAAGATGTGGGTGTACCGTGGATTTATATAGAGCCAATAAGATGTTCTCTGACTTATTCTCTATCCCTTTTCTAATGATTCCTAACATTCTGTTTGCTTTTTTGACTGTTGCTGCATATTGAGTGGATGTTTTCAGAGAACTCTTCACAATGATTCCGAGAGAGAGATCTAATTTTTGAGTTTTTGGCTAGCTGTTCTTCAAACTCCTTTTTGGCTTTTCATATTATATTTTTACACTTAATTTGACAGAGTTTGTATTCCTTTCTATTTTCCTCACTAGGATTTAAATTCCACTTTTTAAATGATGCCTTTTTATCTCTCACTGCTTCTTGTACTTGGTTGTTAAGTCACGGTGGCAATTTTTTGGTTCTCTTACTATGTTTTTTAATTCGGGGTATACCTTTAAGTCGGGCCTCTATTATGGTGTCTTTGAAAAGTTTCCATGCAGCTTGCAGAGATTTTACTTTTGCCATTGTACCTTTTTTATTTCTGTTTAACTAATCTCATTTTTCTGTTGTTCCCCTTTCTGGAATTAAATGCCACAGTGTTGGGCTGCTGAGGTGTTTTTCCCACCACAGGGATGTTAAATTTTATTACTTTATGGTCACTATTTCCAAGCGGTCTAGTTATATTTACCCCTTGGACCAGATTCTGTGCTCCGCTTAGGACTAAATCAAGAGTTGCCTCTCCCCTTGTGGGTTCCAGAACCAGCTGCTCCAAGCAGCAGTTATTTAAAGTGTCAAGAAATTTCATCTCTGCATCCTATCCTGAGGTGATATGTACCCAGTCAATATGGG